ATCTCTTTGTTTAGACCCCATACATCATTCTCTTAAACAGTTAGTTACCAAAGTAACAATAAAATCCTTCAATGTAAAACTTCATAGGCTTTGATATGTGTTGTCATCTTTGTTGATATCTCTATCCCCCTCTCACCTGCCCCTGCTCTTATCCACATTACAATTCTCAATTTTCTGCTACAAATGTTTTATCCAATCATCTTAAAAGAATACATAGATAGAAAAGCTTTAATGCAGATATCACAAGTAACATACAAGAAATATATGGGAGGACGGCATTGTGATAATAAGAAATAGTTGTTTGCAAAACTTTTCAAATAGATTATGCAGAAACTGACAGAGCTTCCATTTATATTACAAAAAAAATATTCACCAAGCAGATTCCTATCTTTGTGGTAAAAAAAAAAAAAAATGTTGAAAATGAGATCAATAGGTCTGAACATAGATAAATTATAGTATCTTCTGACATTTTAAAGTGATTTCAGGGAAAATGTAGTTTTTCACCACACTAGATTTGATGGAACTAATTATAAACAAAAAATCGTAGACCCTGCTGAACTGATTGATAAACTTTCAAACAAGCAGGAATCTCCTGACATCACTGACTTAGGGTTTCCTAGTTTCTGCTGTAACCTTTTTAGGGACAAGAAATCTGTTCCAACATATTAAACCCAAATTGTCCTCCCTTGACTCTCAACCAATGTTGTAATGAAAAATAATGTACTCTTTGCTACAGAGTGATTCTTAGAATGTATAAAATAACTAATATCATCTAGTACCAAGTCATTCAAGTTTAGACTACCACTCAGTTCCCTCAATAGGTCCTTAGATGAAAATGGTTTCTGGAACTTTTATCATCTTGAAGAAGGGCCCGGATGGGCCCCCTGTCGTAGAGAGCCTCACAGAGTCCCTGGACTCACCTTTCCTTGCCCTATAGCTTAACAACAGATTGTCTCCCGCGGCCTGACCCAGAGCTTGGAACATCCCCTGCCATAGAAAGTTACCCTGAAACTTATGATTAATGCCCTTATGCTTACTGATCACAATCTTTATGGTCTAGCATTCTTTCCAGACTGCTCACATCTTTGTTCCTTTTGCTAACACCACCAGAGAGGACCATGTTACCAGAGGGAAGGGTCCATGAAACACAACAGAAATGTCACGTAGCCCCTGGAATAATGCCCAGATTTTCCCTTAAATACCTAGACTGGACTGAGAAAGGAAGGCGATTTTTAAAGGTGTTAACCTGGTGTCTTCTCAGATCACCGGTGCCCTGACAATAAACGCTTATTCAAATAGCTCAACTCCTGTATCAACCTATTGCCTGAGCGCCACAGGCAGTACGAAGCCCAGACTTGGCTGCCGTCCGGTTTCAGTCTTAACAAACAACTCAGCATCTTAACAAACATCAAACTTCAGTTAATCAATATTCTTTTGAAGTAGGACTCAGAACTAGATACCAGAATCCATTTGGGGTCTGACCAGTGGAGAAGCAATTAGAAATTATTAAGTTGATTTGGAATTCCATATGTACAAATTTCATCAAAGACTTTATTAGTTTTATTTTAGTAGCTAAGAGATAATAGAAAATATATTTGTCTCTGCCTCCGGTTCCTGGTTCAGAGCTCCTGAAACCCTTGTTGTAATTTCCTAAGTAATAAGAGCACTAGGTACCCGATGCAGGATTCCTAAATCTTTTTGAATTTCCTGGATAGTAGAGGTGCCTTTTGTTCTATGGAGGTAACTCTGGGTGGGCCCTTGGATGTCTCTTGGATGGGGCTTGGTCACCAGAAATACCACGCCATCATTAGCAGTTTGGGATTTTTCAGCCCCACCGCCTCCCTCTAGTTTTCTAGAGAAGAAAGAGGGACTGAAAATGGAGTTAATAACTGATCATATCTATGTGAGAAAGTCTCCACAAAAATTCTCCAAAGTATGGAGTTTGGAGAGCTTCTAGGTTGGTGAAAACATTCACGGATCAGGAGAGTGGCACGTTCCAATTAGACTGGGGACAGAAGTTCCTGAGCTCAGGACCTTCCCTGACCTTACCTTTCATATATCTCTTTATCTGACTGTTTATCTATATCCTTCATTATATCCTTTAATAAAATGACAAAGGTATTTCCCTGAATTCTGTGAGCCACTCTAGCAAATTAATCAAATCCGAGGAGAGGATCAAGAAAACCTCTGATTTGTAGCCAAGTCAGTTAGAAGTTGTGGGTAACTTGGAGACTTACTGCTTGTGATTGACATATGAAGTGGAGTGGGATCAGTCTTGCAAAACTAAGCCCTTAGCCTATAAGATAAGAGATAGTGTCAGAATTAAGTTGTAGTATACCCAGCTGGTGTCAAAGAATTGCTTGGTGTGAGAAAACTCCCACACATCTGGTGTGAGAAGTGTTGTGAGTGCAGTAAAAGTGTGAGAGTATAGGAAAAATGGAGGGGAAAGATGGGAGAGTTTTCCAAAAGAGTAGCCTAGGTATAGCATTATTTTATGTGATCCAAAACCCTTCTGTTTTTAAATTGGAACCTAACAAAGAGATCGTATTCTTTCCTAAAGATGAAACTATGAGATGCAGAAACTATCAGAAATATTGTGCCTTGTATGATTAAAACTAGCCTGTGAAAATAAATCAATGTGTGATGAAAAGTAAAGCCCAGTCTGGCTATAAACGAGATCCTGCTTCCAACTGTTCCTGGAGCTCAGTTGTACCCTTAGGTTCTCCATGGGTACATGAGCTAATAAATTCGTTTAAAAAAAGAAAAAAACAATAATAAAAAAAAGTAGCTACTTTGTCAACAAAACAAGTTCTAACTTAAGTATAGATTTTCCTATCTTAAGTTTTTACTTATTCCTCCCTCCCAACTTATGTCCTATATTAGCTTTCTATTGTCACCATAACATAAACTTGGTGTCTTAAACAGGACAACTTTATTATCTTAGAGTTCTGTAAGTCAGGAATCTTACATGAGTCTCATTGGCTAAAATCAATATATGGGCACAGCTGAATTCTGATTCTGAACTTCTAGGAAGAAGATTTCCTTGTCTTTTCTAGCTTCTAGACACCATCTGCATGCCGTGGCTCAATGCTCCTTTCCTCTATCTTCAAAGTCAGCAATGATACATTTCTCTGACAATTCTGTAGTCCCATATCTCTGACCCTGACCTCAACTGGAAAAGTTTCTTTTAATGACTCCTATGATTAAATTGGACCTACCTAGATAATCCAAAATAATCTCCTCATTTTATGGTCCTTAATTTTAAGTGCATGCGCAAAGTCTTGTTAAGGGTGGAAAATTTTCAAGTGAGCCAACTAGCTAAGTCAGCTACAGAGAAGAAATATCTTTAGATACCAGAAGTTGTCCTACTTGCTTGTGTGTGGTTTAGGAAGTGTATTGTATAAGATATAAAGATGGCCAATGTCTGCTTCTGTAATCCATTTACTTGTTAATTAAGGGTGTTGTTCCGGGCAAAGATATGCTAACAGCCAACTTCCACTTCTGTAATCTGCTTGCTTGTTCAGGAGACCACCAGGATATGGTCTTAAGCTTTATCAACTGCCTCCTCTGAAAGCTGGAGGCTGATCTCCTCTAGCCCTGCGTGATAAAGAGTCAGTCGCGGGCTGGCTAATAAAGGCTCATAATTAATCTCAATTGGTTCCGTGGGTCTCAGAATCATTCACGCCATAACAGTCTCTTTTGCTATCCAATATGACATATTCACAGGTTCTGAAGGTTTAGGCATGAACACCTTGTGAAGGATTTGGGGGGTGGGCAAACAGGACATTGTTCTGCTTACCACTTCAAAAAAAAACAGCATTCCATCTCTCACACCATTCAATTCAGTAATAAACATATATTAAACAGGAGAAACCAGATATCTTCCACATTAATAGAAGCCTGTTAATCAACATTATTTGGGAAAAGTTGTTTAATTCAAAATGACTCCTTCGAAATTGTTTTTCTGGGAGGAAAATTTAGGCTGGTTTTATCTTCTTCTGAAGATGAGTTTGAAGATCCTAACTAGATTTCTCCAGCATATAATCAGAATGCAAACTTTGAAATTTAGAATTAAAAAGAGTTCCATACCCACATACTGGAAGCCTGAGGCAGCTATCATTCTTGAGTACAGAGAGTAAACACAGCATCTCTCTTTGTTTTACTAATAGCTTTGTTTCCCTAAGCTGCTAGCACAACATCTGCCAAGCCAGAATGCACTCCTTCCACATACCATGGAAACACTGCCGGCCAAATAAACGACCTACGCTTAATGGTGTAAGGGCAAGTGCTTTCCAGCCACTCAGCAGGCAGTTTTCAAGAGGAAAAAACTTCAAGTAGAAATGAAGCTGCAACCTCTTCTCTCTCCAAATCTTTAGCATGGTTATGGAGTTGTTGGTTCTGTAATGATCTCATACTGTCTGCAATTTTATCGATTTTGTTTTTCAATAGAACTGTTAAAGATTACAGTTCCCAGATAGGCAGAATGTGGGCAGATGCTCATATGCTCACACACGGTTCTGCCAAGATATTTTTACATCTTTCTGCACTTAAAACAAAATGAAGACATGTGTTATAGTTGCATGCTACTGGTAAACCCTAGAAGAGAATTTTTTGTACACTCATTTCCTGGATGAAGTATTAAAACAACCTTACCTAGAAAAAATAAACAATACTTCCAAAATAAAAGAGATTTGCTTTTGAGGCACCCTATAAAACATTCCTAATTACCAAAACCATTGAAACGGCAATTTGGGTCAAAAAAAAATTCCTGCTGTCTAATTCAATACAAACTTCTTGTCACATCTACTGGTTAAGCATCAAAATGCTGCAACAGCTTATTCTCTGTTGATGTTCATTCATCTACTGTACATCGGAAAGGCTCATTTCAAACATAGCATGAAAGAAAGAAAAGTAAGCAAAAAATAAACTCAGAAGAGACTTGAAATAAATTGCCTCAAGAAAAACACTCAAGAGGAAAAATTGCAAAATCATAGCCTTACCTTGGGAGACTTAGGCAGACCCACTGTCCTTTTTCCTGCTAACTTTAGCAAAGTTAACTTTGTTTCCTCTACTGAGGGATGTTTGGGAGGGCGGGGTGGAGGGTGCAAGAATGAGCTTTCATATCTCCGCATCATGTAATATTGCTCTTCAGTGATCTCTTCGATCAGAGTCCTGACTAGAAATGATGGTGTATCTTGAGACAAATTACTAACTGACTGAACAGTCATATTAAAGCGGCCAACAGGAATTTCCCAACACTCCTTGGGGTTGGCAAAGTCACTTATGAGGAGATAAGAGTCTGTGATAGCTTCTTCCAACTGTAGTCCTGGTGTAGCCGCCAAAATGTCTTCTGCAATGGAAAGATCTCTCACGGATACCTTCACATTGAAGGGCAAGTGGAACTGTGCACAAAGTTCGGAAATCTGGTACTGTTTCTTATCATGAATCACCTCTACAAAGCCTCCTTCCATGTACAAAGGGAGCAGTGCTGCCTCATAGGACTTTTTGAGGATTTTTTTACAGGCCAGAACATTAACCACTTTTTTGATTCCCTCACAGAGGATTTCCGTCGTCTGTGAGTGATGCACTAGAAACTGGTCTCCAACAGATACGGATGACAACTCATCATGAGGGGAATGAAAGGCTTTGGTGGCCACCACGTGGAGATGTTCCTTTTCACTCTTTGCTATCTCAAGGTCATAGGCTGTTGGAAATTCCCGAGGTCGCCGCTTGAATTTGCCTTTATAGCTAGTGGGGATTAAGAAGTGTCTTTTAGGAAAATTGCTTCTAATTTCTGAAGCTAAGATCCTTGATGCCTGGTACTTTTTGTGAATCACAATGGTTTTGCCAGGCTGTAAAATGCTTCTGGGTAGTTGGTTTCCTTGAGGCGCTTCTATGACTTCAGCCACTATGGGGAACTCTTTATCAGTCATTTCAGAAAGATCTTGTATAGATAACAGCTGAAGAAACCAGTTGGCATCATAACTATCAGTAATGTCTTTAACTTCAACATCTAAACTGGGAAGGATGCGGACTATATCCTTTCGGACTGAAAAAAAAAAAAAAATATAGAAAAGACCATGATGTTGCTGTGAGGTAGTATTAAAATCTCTCCAGGTGCCATAGATAAATCTCATTTAAAAAAAAAAAAAAACAAAAACTCAGATGTTCATGATATAACATTTCTTATGTGTGACTTTCCTTTTTCCAAATTTTAAAATAAAATAGATTATATGTAAATCCAGCACCCATAAATCTATTGCTCAGCTTAAAAAATAGGCAACCAATACCTTGGAGTTCTAAGGACCTCATCAAAATCATATCTTTTTTACTGTAACCTAAGGGTAGCCATCCTCTTGATTCTAGAGTTAATTATTCCCTCAGTTTTCCTTTATAATTTCATTACATATAACATAAATGAATATATGTACATGTGTGTTAATGTATATGCATTTAGTTTTTCCAGGCTTATTATATTATTTTAAGTCATGCTTTGAGGTCTAGACAATATAAGCAAAATTATCTTAGAAGAAAGTTTTGGTACTTCAATGAAGAGCCCTTCTGCATAAGGCCCAAGAAATACATTCTTTAAACAAAATTTTGTCATGTGGGGTGCAGCTATATTGTAAAATCATGAGATATAGATACTTAAGATTAATATATGGAAATGAATACCACTATCAATCTTTTTAGTTATTTCTTTCTACATTAACACATTGATGGAAAAAGAGTGGCACAAAATGGGTCACAATCAGAGGAGCCACTCAAGAGTCCTAGGTACACTGGTGAGGTGCTTACCAATGTATTCTTTGCCTTACGTGTCACTGAGAACTAATGAATCTCTGTACTCTTTCCAAGAACCTATGTCCCAGAAATATTTTTTTGAGACTACAAAATATTAAAAATATTATCCTGAAATTATCCACTATCTATGTACTACCTACTCCACATAATAGCCTTATAAATGGTCTTGTGTTAAAAATGGTCATATGTTCATATTAACAGGATTTTATAATGGTTTATATGTTTCTGACAATTTCTTAACCCTTAACGTTTTATATCATTTTCATGATCTGCCATTGTCTTCTAATACCTCTAGGCACCCTTCCGTCAATATTCTTTTTTTTTTTTTCTTGCATGCTTTTGAAAATGAATAATTTGGAAGATTTAGAAGATAGAATATTTTCCTATAAAACATGACCTATATAATTACCATTTTTTTTGTTATTAACTGTTTATGCAGCATCCAAAACTATGACTCTATAATTTGTGTCATTATTACTTGTACATGCTGTGTATAGAGTCTTTGAAGATACAGAATGGAAAAAGTATTACTTTATTTTTTTAATATAAGGAAGAAAAACCTCAATGGTTGTCTATAGGCTGAAGGTCGGTAAAAAATTGTAAAGATTCTTCACTTAAAAAAAGTGAGAAGGGCTTATCGGTTTATTTTATAAAGTTTAGCATACCCAAATTTTTGAGAGTGTTGATACAGACTTCCCTGAATCCCAAGATAATTATAGAAACTCTAAAATCTCAGTTATTTAGATCAGAATTAACTAGGTTTAAAAATTCTAGAGCTAGCAATAGATATACTCATAGGCTCATGTCATTTCTCAAGTAAAGGGAGCAGCTAGACTTTGGTTGAGTAGGTGCTGTTAAGGAATTTCTGGGGGCCCTACATTGATTCATCAGATTATAGGGACTCTAATACAAGCTAGATACTAATCTGTATTTTCAGGGAAGGAATTGTCTTAATACCTTAGGATGGCATATTTGTTACCAGAGAAAGCCTCCACGCCAGGCTATCTAACCTGTTTTTCCGTTTTCAGTTTCTGATCTACCTTCAATTCTTCTGTACCAAATCCACTAGAGGTATGCTAGCCTATCTCATCCTACTTGATATATTAGCAGCATTTGACAGAGTAGATTTGACTTGGTCCTGTTTGTTATATTTTCTTTACTTATTTTCTTATCTTACTTATGATTCTTCTCAATTTCTTTGCTGGTTTCTTCTTTCTACCCACCACCCACTCTCCCCTCCTCTGCCTTTTCTTGTGTCTTGGTTCTCTTTATCTACACTCACGCCCACTGTGATCTAACACATTCTCATGTCTTTAAAGACCATCTGTATGCCAATAAACCCTCAAAGTATGACTCTTGCCAAATATTTCTCCTACTTAGGATCTCCACTTGGGTGTCTAATAGATGTCTCAAAATTAACATACCCAAACTCAAATTCTGATCTTCCTGACCAAAACCTAGTTTATCTGTTGCTTTTTCCACCTCAGTTATTGAGGGCTCCATGCTCTTTATTCAGTCCAGAAATCTCAGAAACATCCTTAGCTTTTCTTTTCTAACACCTAACATCTACTATGTAGGACCACCTTGACCCATATACCACATTATCTCTTGCCTGTTTTATTGCAATGGACTTCTAATCAACCTTCTTACAGCAAAATCTGTATAGGGAAGCCAAAGATTCTTTTTAAATATTAAATAGATCATGTCTCTTCCTGTTCACAGCCCCACAATGGCTTTTTTCATTCTGAATAATAATTGATGCCCTTACCATGGTCCTATGTACCACTTGGATCTCATCTGTTACTGGGTCGCCTCACTCTAACTCACTGCTGCCTCCCTGACATCCTTATTTTTAATCAAATCTTTGCATGGCATGTTTCCTCTGCTTACTACATCTTTTATCCAGGTATGTTTGTGGCTACCTCTTCTTCTTCTTCTTCTTCAAGTCTGCCTAAATGTCACCCTCTCAAAGAGACTTACTCAGTAAGTACTTGTGATGAACTGAATGATTGTTTCTCCCTAAAATTCATATGTTTAAACCTAATTCTTAATGTGATGGTATTTGGAGGTGGAGAGAGAAGAGGTCATGAGATTAGTGCCTTTATAAAAGACCCTAGATAGATCCCTTAACCTTCTGTGAAATAGGAAGTGGATCCTCATCAGACATCGAATCTGACAGCGCCTTGATTTTGAACTTCCAGCATCCAGAACTAAAAGAAAT